ACCTTAAGCTGTCCCCCTGGGTAGAGTGCCATGGCATCACAGCTCATAGCAACCTCCAACTCCTGGGCTCAAGCGAGTCTCCTGCTCCAGCCTCCCGAGTAGCTGGGACCACAGGCGCCTGCCACAATGCCCAGCTATTTTTTGGTTGTAGCTGTCATTGTTGTTTGGCAGGCTGGGCTGGATTCGAACCCACCACCTTGGGTGTACGTGGCTGGCGCCTTAGCCACTTGAGCTACAGGCGCCAAGCCAGCAACTAAAGAATTATTGAAATAATATGGTGAATACAGGGGGATGGGGTGGGAATACTTACTTTAAAGACTTCTCTTCTTGGAGGTGGAGGCGGTAAAAGGACTGAGCAGCATACTCTATCTTTGACAGCTTCAAGAACAGCATCACGTTCAACAAAACCAGCACCAGCACGCTAGGCAGAGCCAATCACACCGGTTAATCCACACTTACTAAGACCTGAAGCACTGCTACTGAGAATATATGTGCGAAGGCTTTAGAAATACATATTATATAGACTATTTTCCAGTTATTATTCCTGTTTAAATCAATTATCCCCATCTTATTATATGAAATACTTTTTTTTTAAGACACTATGTCACCCTCATAGAGTGCTGTGGCATCACAGCTCACAGCAACCTCAAACTCTTAGGCTAAGCGATTCTCTTACCACAGCCTCCCAAGTAGCTGGGACTACAGGCTCCCGCCACAACACTGGGCTATTTTTTTGTGGTAGTTGTCACTGTTGTTTTAGCAGGCCGAGGCCAGGTTCGAAATGGCCTGCCTCAGTGTATGTGGCCAGTGCCCTAACCACTGAGCTGCAGGCACCAAGCAAATAATTACTTTTTTGAAGACCCAGTCTCACTCTGTTACCCCAGGCTATGGTGCAATGGCATTAGCCTAGCTCACAGCAACCTCAGTTTCCTGGGTTCAAGTGAGCCTCCTACCTCAGCCTCCTGAGTATCTGAGACTACAAGCACCTGCCACAACAGTTTTTCTTACTGGCTAGTTTTTCTTGCTCTTGCTTAGCCTGGTCTCAGACTTCTGAGCACAAGGGTTCCTTTTGCCCTTGGCCTTCCAGAGTGCTAGGATTATAGGCATAAGCCACAGTACCTGGCCTGAAATGATTACTTTTAAGTATTACTGGGTGTTGAGAAAAAGATCCTGTAGTAAAAGTCCTTGAACGACTCCAACTCACAGGTTGGGGTTCTTTCTGACCTCTCTCTTCTCTGCTAAAATCCCAGTCAGTGTCTTCTCTGCTAAAATCCCAGTCAGTGTCAATATGCAACCACCAGCTCAGAAATCTCCCAGGTGAGCTTTCAGATTCTATTTTTGGGTGCCTTGGGCTTATGCAATTACATACCCATAATGCTGCATTTCAAAAAGGAAATGAAGATCAATATGGAGCTGATCTTAGGTAAATCATGACCTATCTCTAATTCCCAGTGGAAGCTAACACACACACACACACACATACAAAAGACCACTCAGCAAAAATTTCTCTAGTTCATGTTGGACAAAGGAAGTATTAAATACCAAATATATATTAATGGTGTCATTTATGAAATATCACATGATAATGAACTTAACGTATTGGTTTTCTCAGCAGCCTTTCAAGTGCACGAATACATACCTAATTATACATATTTATAGATAATAAGTGGCATTGTATCTCTCTACTTATTTTTTCAGATAAAATATTGACTTGCCCTTAAAAATGTATAGTATATACTCTTCTTTATTCATTGGGAATATTTTTTTTTTTT